CTGCGCACATGGCCAGAGACATGGCTACAGAGAAAGACCGGCATTTGGGGCCATCGTGGCAAACAGTCTACAACTGCTGTAAATTTCAATTCAAAAGGTTTCATTTCCAGGACAGCTGCGTGGCTCAGTTGGTTAAGCATCCACTTCAGCTCAGGTCATGATCTCGTGGTTTGTGAGTTCGAGCCCCACCTCTGCACTGATTGTGCAGAGCCTGCCTAGGATTCTCTCTCTTTCTCTCTCTCCCTCACTCTCTTTCTGTCTCTCTCTCTCTCTCTCTCTCTGCTCCTCCCCCATTCATATTCTCTCTGTCTCTATCTCCAAATAAATAAATAAGCACTAAAAACAAAGTTTAATTTCCACTTCCACATTCATCAATGCAATTATCTCAGAGAAGACAGTGAGAATGAATTAGGGGCATAATGAGCAGTTATGGAAATTCTACTCCTGGGGGTCAGGCTTTCCTCCAGATATAACCCCTTGCCTTTAGATCGCCATTCCTAGTCTAAGAAAAGATCAAAGAAATTAAAGGTTTTCTTTCCAGATGCCTCAGAGAGACCAGGGACCTCATATCAAACTCATGATTAATGGAGCTAAGAACTGCTGTATCACTGATGCGATCTTCATGGCACCCTTCTGTTGATACTGTTTTCCTATTGATTGACCTTCCCATTGACATACTCACAAAGCTTTTCATTCTGATACTGTTTTTTTTTTTCATGGGGAGGATTCTGCTGGGTGGCGGTGACATTTTTAAATGCAAATGGAAGACAGAGACATAGGAATATTTTTTCTTCACTTTCCAGCTTTATTGAAATTTAATTGACATATAAAATTGCAGAAGTTTCAGCATACAATCTGGTGATTTCATATACATATCTGTTGTGAAGTGATCATCACAATAGCTTAGTGAATGCATCCATCACTTCACATGGTGACCATTTCCTTTTGTTGCAAGAACATTTACTATGTACTCTGTTAGCAACATGCAAGTATACAACATAATAGAGTTAAGCATAATGACCATATTGTACATTAAGTCCCCAGAACTTATTTATCTCATATCTGAGGGGCGATAGGCTTTCATTAGCATCTTCTCTTTTCCCCCAATGCCAGCCACTGGCAAACATGAACCTACTATCTGATTCTATGGTTCAAACTTTTATATTTCATATATAAGTGAGATTATACAGTATTTGTCTTTATTTCAGTTAGCATAATTACCTTGGGTTCCGTCCATATTTGGACAAAGGAAAGGATGCCTTCCTTTTTTATTGCTGAAGTCCATTGTATAGATATGCCATCATTAATAATTCATCTGTCGATGGATGCCACGCTGTTTCCATGTCTTGGTTGTTGTGAATAATGCTGCAGTGAGTGCAAGAGTACAGATAGATGAGATGTTCGCAAATGTGTGGGAATTAAACCACACACTCATGTATGGCTGGTGGATGAAAGAAGAAATCAAAAAAGAAATTTAAAAATCTTGAATCAAATGAAAATGGAAATACAGCACATCAAAACTTATGGGATGTTGCAAAAGCAGCTCTAAGAGAGAAGTTTATAACAATAAATGCCTACATTAAGACAAATAAAAAGATCTTAAGTAAATAACCTAACTTTATGATTCAAAGACCTAGAAAAAAAAGCACCAACTAATTCCAAAGCAGCAGAGGAAGAGAAATAACAAATATCAGAGCATACACAAATAATATATAGACCAGAAAACCAAGAGAAAAAACTAACAAAGTGAAGAACCAATTTTTTGAAAATCTAAGCAAAATTGACATGCCTTTAGTTAGGCCAGAAAAAAAAAAAACGGACATGGAAAAGACTCAAATAAATAAAATCAGCAGCAAAAGGTGAAGCCTTATAATCAATACCATAGAATATGAAAGAATCATAGGAGACCACAACGAACAATCTCACTCTGACAAATTGGATAACCTAGAAGAAATAGATAAATCCCTGGAAACATACACCCTACCAACACTAAATCAGGAAGAAATGGGAAATATGAACAGATCAAAAATGAGTAAGGATATTAAATCTGTCCTCAAAAATCTCCCAGCAAAGAAAAGCCCAGGACCAGAGAGCTTCATAGGTGAGTTCTACTAATTATGTAAAGAAGAATGAATTACTATTCTTCTCAAACCCTTCCAGAAACTTAGAGAGGGGGGCACATTCTCAACCTTATTTTCCAAAGTCAGCATTACCCTGACACCAAATCCTGAAAAGCTCAGTACAAAAAAAAAAAAAAAAAAAGTAAAGAAAACTATAGACCGATATCCCTGATGAACACAGACACAAAATTTTTCAAAAAAATATTAGCAAGCTGAATCAAACAGCACATTGAAGGGATTATATTTCATGATCAAGTGGGATTATCTAAATAACGTAAAATTGGGGCGCCTGGGTGGCGCAGTCGGTTAAGCGTCCGACTTCAGCCAGGTCACGATCTCACGGTCCGTGAGTTCAAGCCCCGCGTCAGGCTCTGGGCTGATGGCTCAGAGCCTGGAGCCTGTTTCCGATTCTGTGTCTCCCTCTCTCTCTGCCCCTCCCCCGTTCATGCTCTGTCTCTCTCTGTCCCAAAAATAAATAAACGTTGAAAAATAAATAAATAAATAAATAAATAACGTAAAATTGTCTTTATTTACATATGATACGAATTGAATATAGAAAATCCTACAGACTCAACCCTTAAGAGCGCCCTCACTGAGATGAGCACCAAGTTATGTATAGAATTGTTGAATCACTATGTTGTACTGAACTATATTGTTCTGTGTGTTGATTTTCTGCCCTGCACCAATAAACTTTATTGAATTGAAAAATACACTTATGGTAGACCTTTTGCAGAGGTGGCCCCAATTCACCACTTATCTCTGTATCCATGTACTTTGCAATGTGACTGCGAAGCTCCTCCCATTGAGAGGTGGGGTCAATTTCTCCACCTTTGACTCTGGACTGAATTCAGTATTTTATTTGCCTTAGCTAAGAGTGTATGGTGAAAATGACAGTGTGTCTGAAGGGTCCTTGGTGTGTTTCTGCTGTGCTCTTGGAACCCTGCCTCTGCCATGGAAACAAGTCTAAGCTAGCTTGCTGTAGGAGGAGAAATCATGCGGAGCAGAGCCCTGTTGCTCTAAGGATGGTCAACCTAGCCTAGCCTATCACCAGCAAGCTCCCCGATGTGAGAACACAGCCAAGATTAACAGAGCTCCTCCAGCTCACCCACAGTTGACCACTACCTCATGAGGAGACCAACAGAGACCAGAAGACTTCCCCAACATAGACTCCATGTGATGGATGGAGCTAGAATGTATTATGCTAACCGAAATAAATCAGAGAAAGAGAAATATCATTTGATTTCACTCATATGTGGAATTTAAGAAACAAAACAGATGAACATAATGCGGGGGCGGGGGAGAGGGAATAAAGGAAACAAACCACGAGAGACTCTTAAGATAGAGAACAAACTGAGGGTTGATGAAGGAAGGGTGCGGGGGGGATGGGCTAGATGGGTGATGGGTTAAGGAAAGCATTTGTGATGAGTATTGGGTGTTGTACATAAGTGATAAATCACTGAATTCTACTTCTGAAACCAAGAGTGCACAACCTATTAACTAACTAAAATATAAGTGTAAAAAATTTTTAAAGCATTATCTTAAATCATATAGGTTTGTCATAGCTTGTTATACAGCAATAGCTTATTGATACAATAATCAAAGTAAACAGAACTGAGAATATTAACCTAGTGCTTCTTATTTTTGACATTTGTTCTGACATTCAAAGGAAGCATTCATAATGACCTGGTTATTCACATTTATTTCAGATAAGTGTACTAAAAAGTGACCACCACTCAGGTTCTTTTCCAGGTAACTGGTAGAGATTGGAAAGACCTGTCTGTTTTTGCAGGGATAACTTGTGGGACTTTCTGTCACAAATCTCCATTCCCAGAGCATTACTGGGCAGGAATTCAAGTTCTTGTCTGAGTAATCCTTTGATCATGAGGATTGAAGAGAGTTTAGAGCATAATAAAGGTAAATAAATTAATGACAGTGTAAATACACATATTGTTCACTCACTAACACTATAATTTTATGACAGAATTTTTAAAGATGAGATATTAAGGTGAGGGCAATGGAAGAAATAATATCATCATCCAATTAAATAACATAAAATCTGCCACTAAAATCTTCACTCCAGTGAATAAAACACTTTAAACATGGACACCAAATATCCCACACTTCAATGAGTAGATGTATGTCATCAAAAACATATTTTACACCATGAAATATGACGTGACTCAAAATTTTACCTTATCATATTTCAAGTCTTCTCTGACACTACACCCAAATCAAGTCACTTGGTTTATTCAAATTTATCTCTTTGTAGATTACATGTGGAGCATGTTTTTCATAAGCAATTTTTGCCTTACTATTCTATACCAGGGGTACTGTGGATGCTGAGCTGATAAGAGAGAGAACAGGATCCTAAGAAGGATCATAAAACCTCATGACAAAACAAACTAGTTACAAAACAAACTAGTATGTTAAAGTCTACATTATCAGGAGGAGCATTTAAGGCAGCAAGGTAGAAAGGAATGGCAGACACAGAGTGAAAAAACTGTGGTCTCAGAATTTTTCTACAATAAAATTATATAAAGGGCCTTAGTTGCCAAATGTAGTTTATTCCATAAAAACTAGTACAGTTCACCACTATATGAGGCAAATGGGAATCTCCAAATTGCTCCTGATTCAAGGCTGTGACTAAATTAGGAAATTAAGAAAACCAGAAAGGAAAAAATTGTTAGCTATCAGAAGGAGCAAAATGTTAAACAAAAGGACTTATTTAAATTCAATAAAGCAGTTGAACTTTAGAAAAATTGAAATTCCAGGATATAAATAGAGGGATTAAGTTCTTTCATGATCCAATTAAAGAATCACGATCTCTGGATGTTAAGCATTGAGCCAGCAATCACAGGTACTTCTGGGAAAATGACCCTTTTATGACTTCCCTCTGAAAAATACATTTAGAGCCTCCTTTCTGTCTCTGTTCCTCAGGCTGTAGATGAAGGGGTTCAGCATGGGCGTGACCACCGTGTACATCACCGAGGCTGTGGCACTTGAGAGGGAGCTCTGGGTAGCAGCAGAGCTGAGGTACACTCCCAGGCCAGTACAATAAAATAGAGAGACAACCGAGAGGTGAGACACACAGGTGGAAAATGCTTTATACTTGCCCTGAGCTGATGAGATCCCACGTATGGAGGAAACTATCTTAGAGTAAGAGTAAAGGATCCCAGCCAGGGGAGCACCACCCAGCAGCACAGTTGCAAAATATATTACCATGTCATTAAGAAAGGTGTCAGAACAGGCAAGTTGGATCATCTGATTGAGTTCACAAAAGAAGTGGGAGATTTCCACCTGTGTACAGAAGGACAGCTGCAACACCATTAAGGTTTGTAACAAGGAATGCAGGGCATTGATGATCCAGGACACCAGAACCAGCAGTCCACAGAGCCGGGGGTTCATGATGACCGTGTAGTGCAGGGGGTAACAGATGGCCACAAAGTGGTCATAAGCCATCACAGTCAAGAGAAAGATGTCTAATCCTGCAAAGAGCAGGAAAAAATACATCTGTGTGATGCAGTTCTCATAGGTTATGACCTTGCTCTGGGTCTGGATGTTCCACAGCATCTTCGGGATGGTGGTGGAGGTAAAGCAGATGTCTACAAAGGACAGGTTGGCAAGGAAGAAGTACATGGGCGTGTGGAGGTGGGAGTCAGAGTTTATAGCCAGGATGATGAGCAGATTCCCATGTATGGTGACCAAGTACATGGACAGGAACAGCCCAAAGAAGAAGGGTTGCAATTCTGGTTCCTCCGAAAATCCCAGAAGAAGAAATTCTGAATTTTGTGTATCATTGCCTAGTTCCATGTAGTCGATGTGACTATCAAAATAAGAGAAAAAGAAGATGACACAACCATGCATTACTAACCTGGCCGATACTAACCTGGCTGGTACATTTCTGCACTCAAGAAATTAATTTTTATACTTGTGGATGGAACTAGACAAGAATATTAACATCTAGGGAAAAAAGGAAACTATCTCAACATAAAGCCATTTATGAAAAACCCACAGCAAACATGATATTCAAAGGTGATGCACTGAACATTTTCCTGTACCATTTGAAACAAGGAAAGGATGCCCGCTTTCACAACTTCTACTCAACATAACACTGGAAGTTCTAGCCAGAGTAATTAAAGAAAGAAAAGAAAAAAAGAGGTATCCAAACTGTAAAGTAAGAAATAAATTTATGTATGTAGATGATGTGATCTTATATGTAGAAAATCCTGAAGATGCCACCAAAAAAACTAGTATCACCAATAAATTAATTCAGCCAAGTAACTGGATACAAAGCCAACCTGGAAAAAATCAGTTGCATTTTTACATATGAAGAATGAATGATCTGAAAAGGAAATAAAACAATTCCATTTATGTGACATCCAAAAGAAGACTATCACCTCACACCAGTCAGAATGACTAGTATAATGAGACAAGACATAAATGTTGGTGAGGAGGTAGAGAAGAGGGAAAACTCACCCACATTGGTGGGAATGCAAACTGGTGCGGCCACTGTGGAAAACAGTATGGAGGCTCCTCAAAAAATTAAAAATAGAAATACTACATAATCAAGTAATTCTGTTACTGAGTATTTACCCAAAGAAAACAAAAACACTAATTTGAAAATATATGTGCACCCCATGTTTATTGCAGCATTTTTTATAATAGTCAAGATATGGAAGCAACTCATGTGTCCACTGATACAGGAATGGATAAAGTAGATTGGTTTATAGCTAAGTAGATAAAATATATATTGGTATATAATTAAGTAGATAAAGTATATATTAGTGTGTGTGTGTGTGTGTGTGTGTGTGTGTGTGTATATATGCATATCTATTAGTATATATATTGGTATATATCTAAGTAGATAAAGTATATATTTGTATATATTTGTGTATATATAGTGGTATATATCTAAATAGATAAAGTATATATTGGTGATATATATATATTGTATATATATGGGGATATATATATATAATATCCATATAATATATAGGTATATATAATGGAATATTACTCAGCCATAAAAAGAATGAGACCTACCATATGCAACAACATAAGTGAATCTAGAGGGTGCTACACTAAGTGAAATAAGTTAGACAAAGACAAATACCATATGATTTCACTTATATGTATAATGTAAAAACAAGAACAGACAGATACTTAAATACTGAAAACAAACTGGTACTTGCCAAGGGTAGGTGGGGTGGGGGTGGGGTAGATAAAGGGTGTTAAGAGGTACAAATGAGATCTTGCCATTGGTAACACCATGCATGGACCTAGAGAGTATAATGTTAAGTGAAATAAGCCAGTGAGAGAAAGACAAATACCATATGATTTTACTCATCAATGGAATTTAACAAACAAAACAAATGAACAAAGGAAAAACAGATTCTTAACTATAGAGAACAAAGTGAGGGTTTCCAGAGGGGAGGTGGGTGGGAGGATGGGTAAAATAGGGGAAGGGGATTAAGAGTACATTTATCATGATGAGCACTGAGTAATGTATACAATTGTTGAAGCACTATATTGTACACCTGAAACTAATATAACAATGCATGTAAATTATACTGAAATTAAAAAATAAATTTTAAAAAATACAAAAAATCACCCAACATCCTTTAAACTACCAAAAAAAATCCCAAAATATAATGAACTAAAAAAAATAAAATCTACCACAAAACTGTCTTAATTAAGGTAAGAAACTGAGAAAGAAGAAGTTATACATTAACTAAAAGAATTTAAAACACTTTTATGGCCAAATTATCTCCATATAATTCAACAGAGAAAAATAAACTGTAAAAATCATTTGAAATGCTGACAGCTATAGCAAATGAGCATATAATATGTGGGCATATAATTACAATGGGCAAATCAAAATGGCCACCAAGTATATGAATTTTGCTCAAACTCACTGATAGTTTACAACAAAAACAAGAAATCTCTTCCACATCCGTCTTCCTGTCAAAAAAGTTAAATCTTCCTGTCAAAAAATTAAAGAGCTGCCACACCAGTTGGGATTGGAACTATTAAACAGGCAGCAACATGGTACTCTTTAATTTTCATAGCAGAAATGTGACATGCTATGACATTTGAGATAAATTATCTGAAGACAGCTCTAAGTATTAAAAACATAGATATGTGTTATTTAACTCAGGATTTCTCTATCTCAGCACTGTTGATGTTCTGGCCCAGATCATTCTCTGGTGGAGTTTGTCCTGGGCATTGTAGGATGTTTACAGCATCTCTGGTCTCTAGTGACACCTCCCCAGTCTGACAGCCTAAAACGTCTCTGGACATTGCTCAATGTCCCCTGGAGGACAGAATTGCCCCCAGTGGAGAACCAGCATTTTAACTCAAACTCAAAATATTTTTGTAAAATTTATATAATGGCAATTTAATGAAAAAGAATATGAAAAGTCCTGAGAAGCATGAATGACACGGACACACCCTGAAATATTAGGCAATCCCTGAAATAATGAATTAGCATTATACTAGCTGATGGAGGCAAGTCTGTAAAGTTGAGGGAGACAAGCTATTTAAAGTAGACAAGCTATTTAGAAAAAGACAGCACCAGACCCTAAAGGCCATTTACAATGTGCGTAAGATTCTGTTCATGAATTTGTATAAAAGTGTGTGAATATTTGTGTGTGCATAATATAGAAGTTTAAGTTTCTTTTTTTTTTTTTTAATTTTTTTTCAACGTTTATTTATTTTTGGGACAGAGAGAGACAGAGCATGAATGGGGGAGGGGCAGAGAGAGAGGGAGACACAGAATCGGAAACAGGCTCCAGGCTCTGAGCCATCAGCCCAGAGCCTGACGCGGGGCTCGAACTCACGGACCGCGAGATCGTGACCTGGCTGAAGTCGGACGCTTAACCGACTGTGCCACCCAGGCGCCCCTAAAAGTTTAAGTTTCAAAAGAAACTCAGAGCTTACGGAACAAAGCCTAGCAGGGAGGGTGATAATAGGTTAGCCATGGATCTCCTTCACACAACTGTATGAAACACCCTGACAGTCTAAAACTATAGAGAGGTATAAAATAATATTAATGTAGTGACATCTTGTGGATCAGTAATTCAAGATTAAAGTGCTAAATACTTGGAAATAAGGGCACCTGGCTGGCTCAGTCAGTAGAGCATGAAACTCTTGATCTTGGGCTTAGGAGTTGGAGCCCCACATTGGGCAGAGAGATTACTTTTAAACAACATAAAAACTTGGGGGAGGGCACCTGGGTGGCTCAGTCAGTTAAACATACAACTCTTCATCTCAGCTCAGGTCGTGATCTCATGGTTTGTGAGTTCGAGCCCCAAGTCAGGTTCCATGCTGACAGCGCAGAGCCTGCTTGGGATTCTCTCTCTCTCTCTCTCTCTCTCTCTCTCTCTCTCTTTCTCCCTCTCTCTCTGCCCCTCCCCCTCTCTAAATAAATAAATAAATAAATAAATAAATAACAAAAACCTGGAAATAAAAGAATATAACAAATACAACAAAAAGCCTTTTTTAAAAGTGGGTATGAAGCATTATTTAAAATTATGATTTTATCTTATATACAGATATATATATTAATTCATATTTGTGTAAGAAGAAAAGAGGAGCTTTAGTCAAATGACAAGAAGAATGCCTTCCAAACCATGGTTGAAGGTGATGTGACTTTGAGAAATAGATCTAATTACAAAAGCCCAAAAGGTACAATAAGGAATAACAGAAATGTGGAGACTGGTTGGAAATATGTATAAAAAGTAACTTATTAATTCAAACGATGCAGAAGAACTCTCTACACTTAAAAAAGTAAGAGGTGGGAAGAAAATATACATAAAGAACCGAACATCAAACCATGAAGCTGGTGGGGAAACTCCAATTCTTATATTTGAAAAAATGCAGTCAAAAACAGGAATATAAACACTCCAAACCCACCAAACAAAAGCACAGAACTGGCCCAGACAATTTTCTTTTTTTTTTTTTTTTATGTTTATTTTTGAGAGAGAGAGAGAGACAGAGCATGAACAGGAGAGGAGCAGAGAGACAGGGAGACACAGAGTCCAAAGAAGGCTCCAGGCTCCAAGCCTCCAGCACAGAGTCCCACGCGGGGCTCAAACTCAAACCGTGAGATCATGACCCGGGCCAAAGTCGGATGCTCAACCGACTGAGCCACCCAGGCACCCCTGGCCCAGACAATTTTCAATAGAGAAAGCCAATGTTTACAAAACCCACAAATATACTCATCCTCACCAGTAAGGAAGTAATTGCAATGTAAAGCTTTTTTTTTTAGTATTTCCTTTTTCACCTATTAATTTTTTTTAAATGCTTATTTATTTTGAGAGAGTGGGAGAGACAGAGCGTGAGCAAAGGAGGGGTGGAGAAAGAGGGAGACACAGAATCCAAAGCAGGCTCCAGGCTCCGAGCTGTCAGCACAGAGCCTGACATGGGGCTCGAACCCACAAACCATGAGATCATAACCTGAGCTGAAGTCAGACGCTTAACTGACTGAGCCACCCAGGCGCCCCTCAAATTTTTTTTCAATTGATTAGAATATGCAACATGAAAAAGGACACCGTGAAATGTATGTCTCATGATCCATTGGTCTGGATCTTTCTCATCAATATGGAAACATACTCAAATTTTCCCTGGCTTACTGCATATCCCTCATAGCTAATGCCCTATTTCTCTATTCCCCTTAAAAGCAAAGATTCTTGGACTTGTGTTCCACTTCTACTGGGACCATCTTATTCCACCCATTACCACTCTTCCATTGCCACTAGTTAATTCTCAACCATCTCCCCACATTGCTGATTTCAATGTTTCCTTTCTTTTTTGGATCATAAATAAATACATTAATTAGTGAATCA